GTGTGTGTGTGTGTGTGTGTGTGTGTGTGTGTGTGTGTGTGTGTGTGTTTTGATCATTCCTCAACCAGTCTTTTGCAGCTCCTGTCCCAACTTTTTTGGAAAATGTTGCAGCCATCTAATTCAAAATGAGTGAATATTTGCAAAAATAAAAAAATAAAAAAATAATGATTATCCATTTGAACATTAAAAATCTTGTTTTTCAATGCAATGTCCCAACTTCATTGGAATTGGGGTTTTAGATACCATCCCCAATTTAGATTATTTAGACTCTAATGACTTTATCTTTAAACGTTTAAGTAATCAAGCAAGTTCTGTTTGTTTTTATTGACCCTGTAAACTGAATTGCTATTTTCAAAACCATGTTGAACATAATGTGCAGGAATGTCGCAAGATAATCAGCTTGATTTATTTGACTCGTACCATCATCAGTGCAAGGATGACACACATAATGGGGTCTCCTGACCTAGAAAGAGAAAATAACTCAGAGTTGATTTAATAACTCTGAGTTAGACTTGTCCTGTTTGATCAACAAGTTGCTTCTCGTTAGGGGGTGAACTGAAGCCCCCCGTCGTCAGCGGAGCAAAGTGGTTTCTCGTGGTGTCTGATGCTGTTAGTTAGCTGCCGGGTTTGATAGCTGAGGAAAAGTGGGTCACAGCAGCAAGAGTCACCGTCAGAGGAGAACAGGGTGGGGGTCTGATAAGAGTCTCTGAGGACTCCACGTCCCGATCTGTCCTCCTGTAACAGGAATGAGACAGAGCATTTTTTTTTTACAGCAGGAGTAATCTGTCCACATATCAGAACCCAGTTTAAACAAACATTAGTTGGGGCAGTGACTGTGAGGGGAAGGAATGCACTTCCTGTGTGCACGACTCTGCCCTCTGTGATCTGTGGCTCAGCTGTCGCCGTTTGACTTACGATGCCATGTTCACTCCCTGGGTTGGACCGACTTCTCCATCTGTGTCTCTGGATGAAATTTCATCTTTGCTGCTTGTTATCAGAAGCGATAACATCAAGGAGTCATAAATTCACTCGTGATTTTATCGAGTGACAATCATTTATGAGTGACAGAAAGGACCAGGAAAGTTTTTCATGGACATGGCCTAAAATATGACTACAACATAACYCACTGTAAATGTGTTCATTCCCTTCCTGTCCAAAGAATGAAACATGTTAGCTTTGATAAGAATACTGTAAAAGTTTTGGATATGCATGAGTCACAGGGATAGATAACTCAAAGGTAGGTCACAGGGTCTTGTGATTACTGATGAAAAGTTTGAGAAATAGTTTCGACAAAGTCGTCTGACGCACAGCCCAGAGCCACCTCTGATTGACCTGTCCAGCTTTGTGGTTTTCTGTCAGGCATGTYAGGGTCAGGATTAGGTTATAGCACGGGTGAAACTCAAGGCCCGTGGGCCAAATGTGGCCCACCACGGCATTTTATGTGGTCCGCGAGTTTCAAAAAAGTATTAATGTCTTAAAATAAGCATTTTCTGCTTTAAAGCCAGCAATGACCTTAAGCTACATCTCCCATAATGCCTGGTGATTGTTTTGCCCTCAACAAGATTTCACACCACCACTAGGTGGTAGGGTTGGGCAAAATCGTATAGTTTGCAATTAATCYTCAGAAAACCTTTATTCAATTATTTTTTGGCACTTGATGATTAATACGATTAATGCCACCAGGCAGACTGAACTGGAGATTTCCTCGGTCAGTCCACTCAATGCTCCTCTCTGCTTCAAAWAAGAAAAACATATTTTTAAAGTTCTGTAATTTATTAATCATAACTCAGGTTTTACTTGGTCTGTCGACATAATTTAAAAATTGATGTTTAGCTTGAAGTCTGTATTTTGATACAATTTGGAACAGATTTTTACGGAGAACAAATCTTTCCCACTAGAGTGATTTAAATTAGTCATGTGACTAAGATATGAGGCATCCAGGGACTCCAGGGGAACAATCGTCATATTGATCGTTATCGGCTAAATAACACAATTAATCATGTTTTTTTTTTGCCAATATTGCCCAACCCTACTAGGTGGAGTTGCACAGGGTTCAAATGTAGCCCGTAGCAAAACTTTGCTTCAGTCTAGTTGTACTAGGAAGTGGGAATTTCCTACTTGCTTTTAGTAAATTTAAACTGGAATGCCCCCTACTGAGGCTGGCTGTGGTGTACTGGTAGAGCAGCCAACTTGGGATCAGAAAGTTGTAGGTTTGAATTCCTGCCGTGCCCACACGTCATGGTGTCCCTGAGCAAGACGCCCAACCCCCAACTGCTCCCCAGACGCTTACATCACTGCCTGCTGCTCCACTTGAGTGTTTCTCATGTGTGATGGGCCAAATGCAGAGCACTGATTTAATCATTACATGGGAACATGTATTGATGAATGAAGTACCTTTACCCTTACCGTTAGTGGGAATTTCCAGCTACTTATCATAGCTCACCATTAAGTAAAACTCTTTTAGTTTTAGTCYTATTTATTTTACATTTCGTCAGCCGTACACATAGTACTTTTCTGTGRTTTATAAGAGGACGTGTTGAAACACTGTTTCTGTGCAGGAAATACCAGATAGAGCTCAGTTTTTGTTYGCGGTGCTCAGTCGTAGCAATGAGATGAAGAACGTGACAGTTTGTGTTTAGTCAATAATAAACCCGTAAACGTCAAAGRTTATTACAACTGATCCTTTGAGGGCCARCATAATGCTCATGAGGCCCTCGGTGAAAATAAGTTTGACACCCCTGGGTTATAGGAATGATTGGAAGACAGTACAATAGAAAAGGATAGAAATAATAATGTGTATATGTCTTTGTGTGTTTGWGTTCATGTGTATTGCTAAGCTGAATGCATTCAAACATGCTCCTGTGTGTTGAATTGAACTGAAGTCAGTGACAGGGTCTCACTGCAGCATTAATAACTTTGCGATAAAACAGTCTCTCTCAACGTCATCCGTTCCCAAAATACCTCAGCCTGCAGAGCACAATATATGTTTTTTCCCCCTTGAAATGTATGACAAATGCATGAAAACCAAAGACGCAAAAAAAGCCATTTAAGGCAGCAGTTGCATGCAGTCAACTGCTGCAATAACATTTTGTTGTTCTTTCCAGACATGTTGCTTCCACATGAAAGTCTGTGCAGCCAGTTTCCTTTAAGTGATCATCCACCATCTGCTGCCTGTAATAACAAGTTGGTTGCCTAATCAGATAAACTCATCATCAGCTCTGTCACGCTGTAATTGCTCAACTTGACTGGCCCGTAGGTGCTGGGCGGGTTCTGTCACTGCTGTGAGCTTACGTAAACAGTCTTGAGTTTTCATCGTGCTGAAGTTGTAAACAGTTAGCGGGCTGTGTGTGCGTGTCTGGATCCATCTCAGCGTGGAAGAGAAGAACTCTGAAGTTTAAATTTGCTACTGGAGCGGTTCCATATCTGACTCCACTGGTCAACATCAAGCAAAGTCYCATGGAGGATTTGGCAATTGTTTTATGACCTGTGCTTGATCCTGCAGCCCCCAAGTCAAACATATTGATACTGTATTTACCTCAAACATCATCCCCAATATATACCTTGAGTGCTAATCATTGTATAAGATCTTTGCCTAAATCGTTTGCATTAACTGTTAGATTTGCCACAATTTGAGACTGCTAATTCAGCTAATCCACATTAGCCAACACAAAAACATTTATAACACACTCGGTTTTACAGATGTTGAGCTCAGACTGGGTGTGGTGGTAGCTGAGATTCGCTCCCAATGCATGCTTTGAGCGCTAACACATCAGCAAGATTTTGTAATGTCGGGTGAGATCATGCATGTTTTCCCCCCAACAACTTTGGTAGCGTGATTGTTTCATTTCGCCATCTGCACCTCGCTCTGCAGAGCTGGTAGAAAGCCAAGAGCTTGTTTAACGGTTTTTATGGTTTCCCATGAGGTATTTCACTGTGAGGCAGACAAGATCAACAAACTGTGAACTAACTATTGGTCTACCTGTTAC